ATTTAGTTATTTAGCATGTTAAATATGTATAAGGGTATTTACGTACTTTAACGTAACAAAAAGATATATTTTTTCAACTTTACAATATTAAATATACTTTTCAAATTTTCATTAAATTTTAGGGTATTTCTCAAAATCCCCCATCTAATATATCAAACCAAAGTGGCTACGTGCATGGTTCTCCAATAATGTCGCAATTATTTCATCAAAGCGTGTTAGGTATACTCCAACTACTGGTTTTTAAATGAGCATTATTAACCTTCCATTGTGCTGGAGAGTAAGTGAGATTCCACAAAACGCCAATAGTTTTTTAATTTGTTTCTTTGTTATGGGCCCTAATGATCTTTAAAAGATCTTGTAGTCTCCTCTAATTTTGTTTGTTTATGATTCTCTGTTATATGTGAAGGTGTGGATATTCCCTCCAAAGTAGCAGACGTCACTACAAGAAAAAGAAGGCTATAACGTCGAAGATTAGCGTCGAATTTGCTTAATTATACTTAGATTACTTGCTGTGAAGGTGAAGTTCATCCAAATTAGCAGCAAACACGTCCTTGTTTGGCAGAGAAGATCTTAACACATGCAAAATCAATCGTTCTCAAAGCTGAGATTCAATTACTTTGTAATTTGTCTGGGAGGAGAGAGATGATTTTTACAAGATGGTGCATTATTCTCCAATATTTGTGCAATTATTGAATCATATTGGGTTTGATGGTATACAGTTACGAAATAACTTTTTAGAGTCAATAACTTTCCATTGAGTTGGAGAGGCACCACCTAATCCTAATGATCTTTCAGTGGAAATAAAAAATTAACATTTCGACGAAAGGAAACGTTTTCTTTGGTCCATATAAAGTTGTTTTCTTTTTTTTTTTGAAAAATATATTAATAGTTGTTTTCTTTTTTTTTTTGAAAAACACATTTTTTTAGTGCACATTTACAAGAAGAAAAATGGTTGTAACCTACCTAAAATATGAGGTAATATGTAGAAAACTACCTGAAGTATAAAAATGTGTTTTAAACTATACCAATTTATAAAAATGTGCTTTAAACTACACGAAGTATGAAAAAACATGTTGCNAACAACATATTGGNTTTTTAAAGCTTAAAANGTGATTTTNGNGNNAAATTGTAATTAAATTTTCTTAAATCCGATTTAATCAAATATCCGACCCGATCAATCACTTAACCCGATCCGGTTCAGATTATCATTTTAACTGGGCCATATTAATTTGACCCAACATTTTTCTAAAACACAAAAACGAAGACATATATACAAATGTCGTGAATTATGTGGAAACAGAGAAAACAAAGCAAACAATATAACTTATNGTTGATTAAAATATCAAAATATNGTTAGTTTGAATAATAAANATAACAATTTAGCCTATNANNTTNTAACAGTTTTCAAACCAAAAACAAACTTAGCCAAGTAATTTTAGTAAAAGAAAACAAATACAATGATAACTAACGATATTTTGATATTTTAATCAGAATATTTGGCTAAAATTTAAAAAATGGTTATACAATGATAAATACGTCATTTTTTTTTCAAATGTAAGATCGTAGTGTTCTTGATTTGAGGAAATTAGATGAACAGAGTGTTAGGAATATAGATGGGCATGACGTGAAGGATAGGGGGAAGAACCCATGACGTGTTTATCATAGCTTGGAAGCCAACATATATGAACAATCAAAATAACAAAAATGGAAATCCAATCTAGTCCAAAACTCCTATACAGGTTTCAAACGTAATTCTAATAGGATATAACTCAATCACTTTGCAATAAAGCTCACATGGTTTATAACCAAATACAAAATGCAAATGAGACATATGAGAATTTGCTAGTGGTCGGGTCGGATATTTGATTAAATCGGGTTTAAGAAAATTTAATTACAATTTGATCCCAAAATCACGTTTTAAGATTTAAAAACCCAATATGTTGTTTGCAACATGTTTTTTCATACTTCGTGTAGTTTAAAACACATTTTTATAAGTTGGTGTAGTTTAAAGCACATTTTTATACTTCGGGTAGTTTTCTACATATTACCCCATACTTCGGGTAGGTTACAACCATTTTCCCTTNCAAGAATGCCATTTAGGGGTGTCCATTTGCAAAAATAACACT